TTAATTTCATTAATTTTTTAAATTTTTTTTAATCTATATATTTATATATATTTATATATATATATGTATATATATATTTAATTTTATTTATTTATTTTTTTCAGCGGGGAAACAACAGGAAAAAGTCGTTTCCGGGCCCCTGCTCTCACCATGAGGGCGGCCTGGTCCCCGCTGAGGTCGGGGGCGGGGCAGTTCTCGGCCATGTAGGCCTCTTTGGCCGCCGCAACGTCCTTCTTCTCCTGCTCCAGCCAGGTAGCGGCAATCTGCAGCATCAAGCTCTGCAGGGAGACCAAAACACGGATCAGAATCAGAAAAACTTCCATAATCATGCAGAGAAGAGGTGGAATTCTCACCTTCAGATGATGCCGGCGGCTGGATGTCATTTTCTTTCTGCGGTCAAGAAACAAAAACTCAGAAAATGTACTTTCTGATCTAATGGAGTGACTACTTTTGGAAATATATTAATATGTATTCTATTTTGAGTAAAATTAGACTTTAGATAATGATCATGAATTTAAATCTTGGTCTAAATGTGTAAAGACTTTGGCAGGAAAAACAAGATCAGATTTTGAACAATCCTCAATAATCCTTAGCCACTAATATTTAATCTTTGCTAGTTGTTTAATACCTCCTTAATTATTTTTTTTACTCTCAGTCAGACTAACTGGATCATTATCCAAATGCTACTGCTCTAAAAAAAAAAATCTGAGGATATGAAGCATAGGTAACTGGATTGTTTTGGACACATAAAGTCAATTGGAGTCATGTATTAAAGTTTAGTCATCTTTTAAGTTTGCGTAGCTATCAGAGTATCATCACTACAGATTAAAATATCTCAATAATTACTCTAAGTCATGAGCAGAAGTTCAAACAGACCTGAATCCTAATGACGTAAATCCTCCTCTGTTTTGTTAGATTTATTACCGATTAACTAACATTCAAAGACGATGATTTTTTTTCTTTTTTTTAAACAATTCAGCATTGAAGTAGGAGTTATGGACCTTTTATAAGACAGCATAACTAACAAGATTTAACTTCAAGATTTAAAATCTTTATTTACACTTTAATTTGAAATAATTTTCCTTCACATACTTTACATCCACGCATGTACAGAAAAAAATTCAATTTTTTCCTTGTAATAAAAAAGAACCATTTAGAAGAGCTTGAATATTGTTACTGATTACTCATAAATTTTTATTTTACAGTTTAAAACAAACGTGTTTGTAGAGTTTGCGATCTGTACTGGAGATGAAACGGAAACAGATTAGGTTTGTGGTGACCTATGAAATAAGGATCTGAGTTTGTTTGAAATCCTGGCTCTCATTTATAAGACAGTCTCCAGTGAAATTCAAATACTTACTCAGACATTTTGGCTGTTTTTGAGCTTCACGCCTGTAGAGACAGAAACACTCAGTTAGGCACTAAAAGGAAGCTCACAGGCCACAGCTGGACCGAACGACCTTTGACCCCCGGCGGGAAACAGGACCCCTCTTTACGATAACGAAAACACGGCCACAAACCGGCTAATTCTGGATGGGCGGGCTCTGACATTCAGCAGTGGCCCCTCCGAAAAACATTCTGCCCAGAAGTGAACCTGTTCCAAAATGCCACGAGCACACGCGGTGCCAAGTTCTCCGTTAAGACCAATTATAACAACCTGAATACCTTCTCTGCAGCAGCTGTGTTTCAGAACAAGTCCAGATTTTAAACAGGAACCAGGCCCAATTAAAAGAAAAGAATCACGATTCTGTGTTTTCAAATCAACAGAAATTCCTGTGTTTTCAAACTCTTCCTCACTATTAAAGACACCGTAAGAAATGTGAGAAAGAAGACTAGGAAGGGATTCACAGATATTTTGGGTCAAATATTTTACAAGAGAGAGTACAATAACCAAAAGTGAGCCATGTTAACCCTATAATGCCAAATTTATCATATCTGATACGTACGGTTTCTGAAATGTTTTGCGTCTGACACCTTTTGCATAATTTAATGGTAAAAACTTTGCTCAAAATCCTATTGTACACAATCAGATATACCTGATAACAGGGGGCAGATGACTACACAAAAAGTAATCTTGACTTATCGCGTAGTAATAAATTATTAATATTAAACATTTATTTTTGTTTTTTCTTTTTACATATCTTGTTCAAAGGCCAAATATAGACTTAAAAACAAACAAAAAGTAATTGTCTGTTTTGTTTTATTCTTGGATCAGGCTTTAAAGGGTTAACAGGGTCCAAATACTTGAAATTTAATGAAAATTTAGCTGAAAATGTGCAATTTCTCATCAGGCCTTTGAAAAACATCTGATGACAATAAACCTTTTTATGTTTTTTTTAACAAAACAGGGCTGAAAATGGCCGTCAGAAATTAGTTTCCACAGAATATTGCGTGACCTTATCAATGAAAAACCTGCTCCAAAAAAAGATAGCCTCACTTATTTTAACTGCCCTTATCTCTCAGTTTGAGACGTCTAAGAATTAGTCACGAAAATACTTAGATAATTTCCACTTGAATAGTTGCATTGGAGTAAAATCCCCAGTTTTTACCACACGAAAGTCCTACAGTCCTTCAGAAAGTCCGACAAGTGCGAGCTGCTGCCTGAGCTCTGAGAGGTCAGAGGTCACGCTCCCAGCAGCATCTCTTTTTCAAAAAAACGAAAAAACAAACAAACAGCTTCCTCTCTTTTCAGCCGATTTTTTCGCCGAAATCTGAAGTCCCACCTTGTCCAGCGGAGCTTATTGATCCCCGACCGACGGGGTAACGGAGCGAGACTTTAACCTACCGAACGTGACGAGGACGAGGAGGGTGCGCGAGAAGAAGGGGGGAAGAGACACTGCCGAGTCCCAAAAGAAAAAGATAAAACATGGTATATAGGGGCGTTAGGTGCTGGCTCAGCAGCAAAGGCAGCCCTCTTTATGGTAGCAGAGCCACTTCAGACCAATGGGCCAGCAGGCTCCAGAAATACCACCGCAACTCTCTGAGGAACCTCATAAATTTCGCCGGGCAGGAAATCACCTCCTCGGACTGGACAGACGCTATCGGGTTCCACCCGCCGAAGACAAGCGAGGTTCTCTCGGAGCAATTGTTACACAACGCAGAGACACTGGGACCATCTCCACCAAATTCTGCTTTTCTTGATACCAGGCAAGCTTCTAGAGAACATCATGAACCACTCAGACCCCAATTAAAGTCCTCAGCCACTTCAACGATTGGCAAAAACTGCAGAAACCATCACAGAATGCTAAAATAAACCCATTTCAGACCTCTACAAAGCAGTTAGACAAGTGTTTTTGACCTACAAGAGATAAGTGTGAGGCTTCAAGCTAACAGAAACTAAAGCTTATTCAGTTTATAGTATTTTTAGACCAAATCTTCAAAAGGCTAGCAATACTTTCATCTTTGGCCTTTAAGAAATGTATTAGAGAGAAACAGAAACCATCACAGAATGCAAAAAGAAACCCATTTCAGACCTCTACAAAGCAGTTAGACAAGTGTTTGTGACCAACAACAGAAATCTGTGAAGCTTGATGCTAACAGAAACTATAGTATTTTTAAACTAAATCTTCAAAAGGCCAGCAATGCTTTCATCTTTGGCCTTTGAGCAATGCATTAGAGTATTGTCAATCAAATGCTAACACATTTATTTTGAGGGGTAGAGAAATGCCGGATCATTCCATTTTTCAGTAACAGCATTATTTCACCAAAGATATTAAAGAACTGGAAAACTTCTATGTTTTTTTTTGTTTAATCTCATCACAAGAATTAAGTTTTTATTCAAATGTCATCTTAAACTTCCAGATCCAGATTATTTATATTTGAGACAATCTTTAGTTTGCAAAGGCACCAGGAAATGTGGATTTAAAGAGCTTCCTTTGGCACATGAACAAGTTTTTGATGTTTAAATACATTTATGTTTCACTTAAACATAAATAAGCTTCTGAAATCACTTCCAGGGTTAGTTAATAGTTAATGTCCTTAAATTGCCAAAAAAGAAAAGTGTCACTCACCATCTCGCCGTAGCTTTTCAAAGCAAGGCTTGGACAGAATCGATGGAAATAGTTTGCCAGGAAATGTTGCCATCATCACCAAAAACGAGGGCCGGATGAGAGATGGGAGGAAGGAGATCGGGAAGAAAACAGGAAGTCGGAGACCCTGCTGACATCTGCTGGTTCAGCAGGAGTCAAACTCCAACGGAAAACAATCCAAATAATCCATCCTGCTGCTCGAATTTAAAGAAACTTCTTGACCCTGAAAACAGATCTTCCTTCTCCAACATTTGGACTTACGCAGTATGTTGTCTCTTTAGGAGTAAATCTTTCTATTGACCTCAATTCAAATTCAGTTTGAATCCACTAAGAGGCAGCTTCAAACTACACTCTGACCCCTTAACTTCAAAGATTCCAGTTAGAAAAACTAAGGAAGAAAAACACAATATGTCTATATTCCAAAAGAAGATTTAATTCTATGGCTTTCTTTGAAAATAACAATTTGGAGACGGGACAGACAGAAAGAGAGTGAAAGTCAGATTAAAGTCAGATTAAAGTCTCTAAGAGGTCTCAAACATCTTCTTCCTGTCAGCTTTGTCTTCGATATTCTTCCTCCAGTCACCGATTGCTTCCCCAGCCTGGAAAAAACAAATTTATCTGTGTTTCTGCAGCTGCCTCCAAACATAAAATCCAATCAAATCCAGAATTTAAAAAGAGCCTATCACCAGTGCAGTCAGTAATACATCATAGAGCAACAGATATTCTAACATGCTAATCCTCAGTTCTATTTAGTAGAGAAAAACTGCTTTAAAATACACTTTTTATCTGATAACCAGAAGAAACATTACTCACCGTTCTGTTTCCAGTTTCCAGTCTCCCTTTTCACTTTATTTGAGTATTAAAATCACCTTACGGACTCTTTAACTTAGCTTTCTTTAGCTTAGCTCACTATGCAGTCAGTAATACATCATAGAGCAACAGATATGCTAAGATGCTAATCCTTAATTTTATTTCGTAGAGAAATACTGCTTTAACGCTATAATGCCAAATGTGTCATATTTGATTCATACGGTTTCTGAAATGTTTTGGATCTGAGACTTTTTGCATCATTCAGTGGTAAAAGCTTTGCTCAAACCCCTGTTGTTCACATTCAGATATACCTGATAACAGCCAGTAGAAGACTACAACAAAATACATTTTTGACTTATTGTACGCTAATTTGATCAAAATAATTTCTTTTTTTTTTCTTCATATGTTGTTGAGGGGCCAAAGAAAGACTTCAGACTAAAAAAATCCAATATTCCTCCTATTTTTCTTGGACTTTAAAGGGTTAAAAAACACTTTTCCACTGATAACCAAAAGAAATATGACTCCACCGTTCAGTTTCCAGTCATAGAACTGACTACATTTGTTTAGATTTCATTGCGATAACTCAGATAGTTCCTCACCTCTTCTTTGACCTCCTTCTTGACCTGCTTCAGGTTGGCCCTCAGGTCCATGTTGACGGTGTGTTTGGAGCCCAGCAGAGCTTTCAGCATGTCGTCCGCAGACATGCGAACCTTTTTGAGGGCCGGCTTCTTAACTCCGGCCAGCTCCACCACCTTCATCTTCAGGTCATCAATCTGAAAGCGCCAAGCAGTGGGGAAGCTAAAGCTACAAGTCAGTTAAGCTAAAGCTAAAGCTAAAACTAGTTGTGCAGCACCTTAGTTCACTTTAGCTAACCGAACCTTTACTGGGGGTTTTTAGCGTATGATTAGCATCAAATAGAGATTTGGGAGTTCTGTTTAACACCCATAGAGAACCCACTGTTAGGGAAATCAATATATGTATAATCACTTTCTTAATTTCTCTCTGGTAACTTAAGTTTACAGAGATGAAAATGGGGTGAGACAGCCAGGCCTTTCCACTTGAATGTGAGCAGCTAACTGGATGTTTGAGTCATAAATTCAAAAGGCTTTTCAGCACTGTTTCACTCTCCGTTTCAGTTGGAGTTTGTCGAGATGCAAAATTCTTAAAAAAATAAAAAAGATGGCCATTTGGAGTGCTGTATCCAAAAAGCCTGAAACCATGCTAACCAGGCTAATGACCTCATGGAGACCAAGGGGCTGTGGGACCAGGCCACGGACAAAGGGACTACAGGTTTGGGGGTTTGGGGCTGGGGCTGGTCACCAAAACACCCCCAATGGGAACAAGGAGCAATAATGGGTAAAAAAAGAGACCAAAGGTAACAAAAAAAGTGAGTTTGAAGCTTCACAGTGCACGCTGGTTTCTTTTTTTTTACTGTAAGCCAGTGAAAAGTAGGGAAGAACAGCAAAAAGAGCCCATTTATATAAGAAAGGGTTCATCAGAAGTACTGATGACTGTTGAATGGAGACATATACATTTATTTCTTTTTCTAATTCAGCAATGTATACAGGTATTTATCTAGGTTATCTATCTATCTAGGTATTTATTGTTTTTAGATACATAAAGATTACAGGTTTAAAATCAGAGATGGCTTCTAAATGCTCTGATTCTGATCATTTCTTTTCTATGCTAAAAGCAACAAGTCTGATCAATTCTAACTCAGTAAAATGTCAGTGAAACGACACATTTGTGTTGACGAAAGTTATGAAATAATTTAAACATTGGAAACCTTAATCATCTCTATTTTTTGTGAGAGACAACTTAAATGTTTTTACCTCTGCTTTCTTTCCCAAAGAAACAGGAACGATATTTTTATGAAGAAAATGCCGCGTTGAAAAATCCACCTACAATCTATTCTACAAACTATATCCCAAAAATCCAGCATGCAGACTGAAGATAACATATTTTATCTGTAAAACCATCATAACCAATCGTAAACGACCAACCTCAGTCAATTTAATCAGTTTTCGTGTGTCGCCTGTTGTGTTTAGGACCCAGAACAACACCAGAAACCAACAGGAAAATGGACCATATGAGATAAACACACCTCCTTTTGCGTCTTTACTTGTTTGGCCTCTGTGTCGTAGCGCTCTTCATCCACCACATCGATAGCGTGTTGCAGCTTTTTGCAGAGTTCCTGTTAACATGAAAGAGATAAATATTGTTTTACACATGGAGTCCATCTCATAATCGAGGGGATGCGAGTTTGTGAGGTTTCTGTGTGTGAGCCATCAATGATTGTACATATTTTAGTTACTCAAATCTCTGCGCTGTGTTGCTTCCTTGTATATTCGTTTGTTTTTGCTGTTTGTACTTTATATTTATGCACCTTTTCCTCCTTTTGAACTCTCTTTAGTCACTAAACCGATGTGTGACCAGTGAATTTCTCCACTGTGAGATCAATAAAGCTCTCTTATCTTATCCTATCTTATCTTATCAATGATTGTATATATTTTAGTCACTCAAATCTCTGCGCTGTGTTGCTTCCTTGTATATCTGTTTGTTTTTGCTGTTCGTACTTTATGCACCTTTTCCTACTTTTTAACTCTCTTTAGTCACTAAACCGATGTGTGACCAGTGAATTTCTCCACTGTGAGATCAATAAAGCTCTTATTTTATCTTATCTTATCAATGATCGTACATATTTTAGTCACTCAAATCTCTGCGCTGTGTTGCTTCCTTGTATATTTGTTTGTTTTTGCTGTTCGTACTTTATGCACCTTTTCCTCCTTTTGAACTCTCTTTAGTCACTAAACCGATGTGTGACCAGTGAATTTCTCCACTGTGAGATCAATAAAAGCTCTTATCTTATCTTATCTTACCATCAGAGCTGCCTGGTCTCCATTGAGGTCAGGAGCTGGGCAGTTCTGGGCCAAATGAGCCTCTTTGGAAGCCGCGATGTCTTTGGCCTCCTGCTCCAGCCAGTTGGCAGCGACCTGCAGGACCAAACTCTGAAGGACAGCAGGAAACAGACGTAAAAAAAGCAAGTAGTCCTGCATCCATCCATCCATCCATCCATCCATCCATCCATCCATCCATCCATCCGTCCATTATCATTACCACTTCAGTTCCATGCTCCTAAAATCTGGAACAGTCTTCCTGAAGATGTGAGACAGGCTTCAACTCTGACAGTGTTTAAATCCAGGTTGAAAACGCTTCTGTTTAACTCATTGGCTGCCAAATATGTCTATAGACGTCAATTCAAATACAACCGTTCGCTGCCAAAGACGTCTATAGACGTCTTTTATGTTTTTCAACGAGAGTGGCTGGGGGACGATCTGCTAAAGCTTGTCCGTAAATATCAGGCTTCTAGACAGAGTATGTAGTAACAAATTGACCCTCTAGGTGGCAGTGCCACTTTTGATGGGAGATGAGCATAGATTGTAGGGAAATAAAAAAAAACGCAATGGTTCGCTATGCGAGAAATGGCGCCGGTGAGACGCACGTTGAGGAAGAACGGAATAAGGTAAAAACAATTTTTTTTTCCTGATGAAAGAAGAGAGTCTACTCTTTCTTTTGGTGTGTTCGGTGTTTACATAGTCATAGCACAAACTATTCTGTGGCTCTTTAAAAAATCTGTCAAAATGCTCAAAAAACTCTGGCAGTATGGGACTGTTCTGAAAATGGCCGGCAGTCAATGAGTTAACTGTGCCTATGGAAATTGAATGTATTTCGTCTGCACCCTTCAATTTTCCCATACGTGTTTGTGTTGACGATCGTCAGCTATTGTTGTTGCTGTCGTTGTCCTTATTGTGTTGATTAATTTTCTTTTCTTGTTTTTCTGCTTTTCAATTCTCTGTGAAGCACTTTGAATTGTCTTGTACACGAAATGTGCTATACAAATAAACTTGCCTTGCCTTGCCAGTCATTCCCTAATGGGGTCACAGGGCAGAACTGGAGCCTAACTTCTTCATCTTTTAGTTTATGTACATATTAATTCGCCGAGTTATTGGTTGAATCAAGAGAAATGTAGCTCTGATTTATCATTTATCTGTTCTTTAGGCAGCATGTTAGCGACAGATGCTAAATCCAAAGTCCTCCTCTTTTTCAGTCTCACCTTTAGATGATGCCTGCGACTGGATGTCATCTTCTTTCCCCTGTGGTCGATACAAAGGTGTTCCCACATGAGTTATTACAAAATACAGTTTTTTGATAATCAATCAATGTAAATAGAAATTAATCTGGACTTACTCAGACATCTTGTCTTATGTTTTGTTTCAGATTCTGCTGAAAAGAAAAAAGCCCAAAGATGGTGATTCTGACTTTAGGGTAGAGGCTTAATCATAGGTCTATTTTTGATTTACTCAAGACATTAATCATTTTATCAAGCTTTACTATTTCAAAGTGGGAAATGAAACACCGATGGGAGTTTACAAAACTGAAATTTCTTTGATAAACTAGAAGTAAGTCACTCCATTTTCAGTCTCAGTATGGCATCTTCACCATCCAAAAATTCTCTCTTTGTCTATATCCGAGATGTTTCTGAACTATTTTAGCCATTTTTCCACCCAGTTATGAGCTGGAATTACTAGAAAACATTTAGTTTAATCTTTTCATCCGTGGATCCTTCCGGTTTGCTCTCGTGTTTATCCTCTTATTAAGAATAGAAACCTCAGGCTGTGGGATACATGAATCCTGAGTCAGCAGTGTCAGAGCTAATCTTAGCTTGGGGTCAAAGGTCAATGAAGAGCATTTTAAGGGGGTGGACATCCGTAGTAGATGAGCCGATTAGAATTTTTTAGGCACAAAATGCAGAAAATATTTTTGACCACTCTCAGGCCAGCTCATATTTTCTAATGATTTCATTCTAGTCGATTAACATCTGGATCACCCCTGAATCAAACAATTTTTGGCTTTTTAAGTTGACCATTCTTCCACGTGTCCCATATTTCTGTTGACTGAATAATTGATCGATCTGTTTGTCTATTGTCTATCTAGGGGTTCTTTTCTTCGGCTTTTTGGCTGAGAGTGAAATCACACAATACAGATGTTCTCAACATCTGCATTGACATGGCCGATGTTCTTTTAGTCTCACAGGCTCTCACCTGCCAGCACTAATGGTCCACATTTAAGGATGTTTTTCACTCAAAAATCTATTTTAATGACAGTCAGTTGAAGCAAACAGAAAAAAATGTTGACATAAATAAATATAATTTTAGGGAGTTACAAATGAGGAAGGGAGGGGGATGCTGGAACTAATCATATCGTCCTCTGTTGAAGTCTACAGACAGTTTTTAAATTGGACTGTGATCATCTAAACAGTTCATTAAATGCGTGTTAGTTTAGTGTTAGTATACAGAAGACAGCATACAGAGAAAGAGAGAAAATTAACTAGTTAATGACCTATAAAAATTACATCCATTTAAAGATATATCCCACTGAGAGGACCACCAAAAGTCAAAAGCTTTGAGTATTTTATCCAAAAACATATAGCTCACTTGAGACAGTAATAATACCAAAGAAAAGAGTTTCTCACCAGCAAAGTAGACGGAGAAAACAGCTCAGAACTGGGAGGTAAAGACGAGAAGCCCCAATAGAAATGGGTGAAATCCGTGGGGTATATATGGGCTAACCGTGTTAGCCCATATATACCCCACACATTTGGGCTCCCCTATTAAGGCTACGGACCCCTGAGGCCAATCAGGCCACCATGCCCCTAAAATACCGTCATCCTTTGACCACTCGCCTCATAAATTTACCATCAATTGACCAGTTGCGTCGGACTGGCCAGTTGGAACTGGCCGACTGTGGACCAGGTCAGAGTGCCACGGGAAACCAGAGGAAGTCTAATCAGACTTCCACCAGACTTTAAAAGTGTGTGGCCCTTCATAAGAAACCCAAACTAACCCATCACAGAGAGGGTGGTCAACCAAAAATATGACGGGGCCCGTTGAGAACACATTTTCCAAACTTTAAGACACTTTTTCTGTCCATTATCGCCTGTATTTGCATCGGAAAATGTTCAGACAAGGATCACAAAACAACTTCTAGCATTGTTATATTAGAAGTGATGCACAACTCATTCTACAAAACAGCACACTAACTACTCTGAGAATCTGTTGTATAACTTTTATTTACTACTGATGTGTAATAGGAACTACAATCAAAGACTCTATTTCAAAAGACTTAACAAAAGACAAAGAAACTCCATGAGAGAATAACTATTCATATTACTATTTGGATCTAGGTCTCCAACAGAAAGGACTGATAGAGGCCTAATTTAAGTATTTTTTAGAATCTAAAAAGACCATTTAAAGTGCTGGTGCTACAACAGAAAAAACAAAAAAAATTACCTTGTCCTTTGACCGGCAACCATAGGAGCTGTTAGGGTTTATGTTGGATTTCCAGAAACTAAAAACAGTGTAAATCAGAAATTAAGTTAATCAGCAGTAAACGGCAAAAAAGAAACAAGATAATTTGGTCAAGAAATAATAAAAGTGGTTCCACTCACCTTGTATGTGACTCAACAGGTCCGATAAAAACAGCTTTGACAATAAATGGAGAAACAAATGGCCCCTTTTTCATAGAAATTTTAGATCAGACAACATGCAGGACGTAGCCCAGTAAGAATCAAACTGAGATGTAGTTGCTTTGGGACAATGTCTGCTCAGATAAGAAATTCGTCAAAAGAAATTGTAATCTGGACCTGAAGAAATAACCAACTATCTGGCACCAGCTCAAACTAAAAACAGGGAACATTTAGTCCTCTGCTGACACCAAGTGGTGGCATGCTCCTATAGCCAGCTCTGCATTCTTATAGCCACACTCTCTCTATATATATCCATACTTTTTTATCATCTACACATTGATTTAATTGTTTCAGCATAACTGTTTGCTTGTTTGTTTTTGTCTGAAAGCATAGGCTGATTATCTCCAGTTTGGAGCTGCATTTAATCATGCAAACCAGACTAAACTTAAGCAGCAAGGCAAAAAAAAATCTTTGAAATATTTGCAACAAAAAATGTCGTACTACTTATCACGAGTCACAGACTCAAATATCATTCTTCTGGGATGTTTTCAAATGTAAAAACTGATTTGTTTAAAACAGTCCAGTCAGAACTCCGAGCTGAGAGCTTGACATTTTCAGCTTCCTGTTCAAATTATATAATGTGTCATTATTCAGATTCTACTATAAAACCCTCACTCATAGGGACGTATTTTTACAGGGCTCTGGTTCTGGTCACTGGTTGGGTTCATCCATACCCCGCACGTGGACTCAAAAGTTTCTGTTTCATTACTGGCCTGCAGACTTTTAACCATCCAGACAAGCGACCGTAACTGCATTAGTCAGCGTTTTTACATGTCTGTCACGTCTTTTTTTCTGTGTTTACCATGTGGAATTAACAAAAATATGTGATTATGTAATGGTATATTTTGAAGTCTTGGTTAATCTAGTATGAAACAAAGATATTCTGTCTTATTCCTCATTCACGTGCACAACACCACAACAAGCACAACAGGACGTTTTCAAAACGCCAACAGACCAGGAGTGATTTTTTTTTGTATTTTTTTTTTGTAAATTTTTTATTTATTTTTTATGTTTATTTTTTTTTAGATAATTTTTTTTTGGTGATTTTTTGGTGATTTTTTTTGTGATTTTTTTGTGAGTGAATTTTCTTTTTTTTTTTTTTTGTGAGTGAATTTTTTTTAATGCAGTGACGTTTCAGGTTCAGTGCCAATGGACCTCTCAGAAGTCGGCTAAAGACGTTAGCTAAAAGTGCGGCGTGCATTGTTTTTGCAGTGTTGTGCATCTCTGAGTCAAAGACAAAATATCTCATGACAGATCAAATGTAGGAAACAAATGATGTTTATTTTACAAAAAAAAAAAAAAATTGTGAGAGAAGAGGGACTTGAAAAGGCTTTTTACCTCTTAGCCGTTACATTTATTATTTCGGTGACTTACAAGTATGGAGCACAAGGAACAAGGCGGGGCCTAGGGTTAGGGTTAGGGTTAGGCTAAGGACACTCATGGGCTAGGAGAGCTACTGGTGGCTCCATCTAGCTTCTGAACCACAGACACCCCCATCTGCTGTGCAAAATGTCCAATAACAAAGCGGGCCGAAACTCACAGGTTTAACGAAACAAAAAGGCATTTCAAAAAATTTCCCCGGACTCCAAGAAAAAGCGCCCAACGGTTTGACTCGTTAGGAGGTCTCGAACATCTTCTTCCTGTCAGCCTTGTCCTCAATGTTCTTACGCCAGTCGCCCACTGCTTCTGCGGGCTGGAACACACAAACACAAACACAAACACAGGCCCGGTCAGAGAAAAAAAGGCGGGAAACCCGTCCAACGAACGTTTGGTCCAGTTTTCTCCGGCCACTCTCCAGTCATAGAGATGTCTACATTTGTTTAGATTTCATTGCAATAATAGATAGTTCCTCACCTCCTCCTTGACCTCCTTCTTGACCTGCTTCAGGTTGGCCCTCAGGTCCATGTTGACGGTGTGTTTGGAGCCCAGCAGAGCTTTCAGCATGGCGTCGGCGGACATGCGCACCTTCTTCAGGGCCGGTTTCTTCACGCCGGCCAGGTCCACCACTTTGATCTTCAGGTCGTCGATCTGAGAGCGCCAAGCAGTGCAACAATTAGGCTAAAGCTAAAGCTA